TTTTTTTCCATGCTAAGCTGTACCCAGCAGTCAAAAATGTGCTTCTGTGTGCAGTCAACTTGATGGAACCCAAATATAGGGTCACAAGGTTCATGAAATGCAATGTGAGTTTCTTGCAGGAAGACTGATGTAATTTTTCTCTTGTTTTTTTAATTTGAAGACATGCTAATAATTGTTTTGCCAACTGTAGTAAAACGTTCCATGCTTCACTCTGGGGTGACCGGAATCAGACCTTGCTGCTGACCTGCTTTTGCTCCACACGCTTTCTTTGCTCTTAGGCCAGGAGTCTGCCTCGTTGTTTCTGGCCCGGGTCTCATCCATGCCTTGGGCGGTATGGCAAATGCAAACATGAACTGCTGGTAAGCAAATCGTCTTGCATGAAAACATTTTCTTTAAAAGGTCCCTGCATGGCGTCATTGAGCAGACCTCACACTGATCTTGGGTAGAAAGACTTGGGGGAAAAACTCGAATTCTTAGAAACAAAGTAGAAAAGCAGTAGCCAGGGATGGGGAAAGGGGGACTGGGGCGGGGAGGAGGTCAGAGTAGACGAAGTTGTCATCACGCCGAAAGCCTGGAGCTCTGGTGAGCAGTCCTGGGCTGTGGCTCATAGTCCTGTGTTGCATGCTGGAGATTTGCTGAGAGTTGATTTTAGGTACTTTTTCCACAAAATAGCTATTTCTACAATACTTATCTTAGGAAAAAGTCAACTGTGTGAGCTGATGGCTGTGCTAACTCTTCTTCACTAAGTGTATCAATGCTCACGCCGCTACCTTAACTATATCCAGTAAAAAAAGAATATTAGGAAGAACATAAAAAACCCCTGGTAATTCCTTCACTTAGGCAAACACTGTTAACACTTCAGAATTTCTTAATATACATATATACGTATGTGGAAGTGTGTGGATATGGGTGTGTATGTAGCACTATTTACTTTAAGTGAAGAATTGTTTTTTAAAGATTCCAGCTCAGTATGTAAAAACGTGTCTGATTTTCAGCTTGCTTTGCATAGTCAGAAAGACAGTTGGAATTGTTTGTTGAATTTGCCCTATAAGCTGCTCAGTCCTCATGGTCTGACTTTGCCCTTGACCCCATCAGCACCGTCCCAGCAGATCAGGTTGAAGGGAGTTGTGTACTCATCAGTTTCAGGCATATTTCCTCTTCCGGGTGGGAGGGATGTTGCCTCTCTTGCCCTGGTTTCTTATGGTTTCTTTTTTCCTTTCATTCTTTTTGGCCTTTCTCTTCATCTACTTTAGGGTCTGATTTTTTTTTTTTTTTTTAAGTACCTTGAGGTTTGCCTGTCTTTTTTTTCACCTCAAAGGATAAGAATGTTATTGCTGAGGAATGTCACTTATTCTGCCATTTCCGAATACACTCACTTAGGAAAGTGTGAAATTACTCTTCCCCTTATTCCAAGAATAATAGGAAAGGTGGTAAAATTTATTTTATGGGCCAGATACGGTGGCTCAGCCTATAATCCCAGCACTTTAGGAGGCTGAGGCAAGAGGATTGCCTGAGCCCACAGGTTTGAGACCATCCTGGGCAACATGGCAAGGCCTCATCTCTACAATAAAATCAAAAAATTAGCCCGCGCCTGTAGTTCCAGCTACCTGGAAGGCTGAGGCGGAAGGATCACCAGGGCCCAGCAGGTCGAGGCTGCAGTAGCCGTGAGCCTGCCATTGCACTCCAGCCTGGGCGACAGAGTGAGACTCCAACTCAAAAAAAAAAATGTATTTTATTTCTCTGTATCTGGAAGTTTAGCATCAGCATCAAAAGGGCCGGTGGCGGGGAGGAAAAGATATTTAGTCTAAATTTTATATTTTCTAGCTGGGCTCGGTGGCTCAGCCTGTACTCCCGCACCTTGGGAGGCTGAGGTGAGTGGATTGCCTGAGCCCACGGGTTTGAGATCCGCCTGGGCAACTTGGTGAGACCTCATCTCTACAATAAAATCAAAAAACTAGTCGGGCATGGTAGCACGCACCGGTAGTTCCAGCTACTTGGAAGGCTGAGGCGGAAGGATCACCGGGGCCCAGCAGGTCGAGGCTGCGGTGGCCGGAACGGCCACTGCACTCCGGCCTGGGCAACAGAGTGAGACTCCAAAAAATAAATAAATAAATAAATAAATAAATTTTGTATTTTCTGAAATTGAGGAAGGGTTCTCTCCCATCGGGTTGCTTCCTACACACTTCTTAGTCTACATTTTCAAGGGAACATGTAACATTCTTCCTCTCTCCAACGTTTATTGGTACCTGTTATGAATTAGATACTCTGCCAAGTATTTTACATGATGATCTCATTTGTAATCACCTTTTAAAAATGACTGTTTCAGGCCTTTGCTTGTGATCGGCGGTTCCTCTGAAAGAACTCAGGAAACCATGGGCGCCTTCCAGGAGTTTCCTCAGGTATCCAGCCCCAAAGTTTTAGTAGCACATTACATGCTACCAAGAATTAGGGAGGAGAGACTGAAAAACGCCTGTCTGCAAAGTAAAAAAGATAAAATAAGTAAATTTGAGGCACCTAGGATAATTTAAAGGTAATTTTCCTGAATGATTGCAAGACACACTCAGGATGGACCTTTTTTTTTTTTTTTTTTTTTTTTTTGAGTTGGAGTCTCATTCTGTCGCCCAGGTACAGCGGCCGCTCCTGGCCACCGCATCCTCGACCTACTGGGCTCCGGCGATCCTTCCACCTCAGCCTTCCCAGTAGCCGGAATTACAGGCATGCGCTACCACGCCTGGCTGATTTTTTGATTTATTGTAGAGATGAGGTCTCACTGCCCAGGCGGGTCTCGAACCCTCAGGCTCAGGCAATCCACTCACCTCAGCCTCCCAAAGGCGCAGGATTACAGGCTGAGCCACCAAGCCCGGCTAGGATGGATCTTAAGAAAGAGGTTAGTCGCTGCTTAGGAACAAGCCTTCAGAAGTACACCTTTTTGTGGCAGGATCTTAAACTCTGAAAACAAGTTCTCCAAAGAGTCAAGAAGATGTAGGTGTGTAAAGGATCTTAGATGATGCTCCCAGGCTGTAGGGAAATAAACACTTGAGAGGAAAAATCTTACTCAAAGTGATTGTCAGTAGACTCTGGGCAAGCTTATTTTTATTTTAGAAAGAAGAAGGAAAGTATTTCAAAATCAAAAGAAACTTGTGGCCATTGCCTTGCTAGACTGGTGTGGCCGTGTGCTCTCTGGGCTGTGGCTGTTGCCCTGCCTCCTGGCTTTGGCCCCTCCACCCACTTTGGGGAGGTGAATCTTCTCTCTCTCTCGCATTTATTTTTAAATAAATTATATTTTCTCATTTAAAAAAATTAAAAATAAATAAACTTGTAAGGATTTGTCAACAAAATGCTACAGTTTTAAGAATAGTTGTAGGAAGCAAATAGGTGACCCTTAAGATACAAATGTGTTTGATCATTTACAGGACACAGTTAAGAGCAAGTTAAACTCATTAGACACAAAGTCTGTTGGTGAATTAGGAATCATTGTTGGGAACTTCAAAATATAAACAGAATTTTATATATGGTAAACTCACATAAAATACTAGACTCCAGTATAAGTTAAAGCAAAAGTTGTTTTTTTATAAGCTTGGAAGGTAATTGAAGCTTTACTTAGTTAATGGTGGATAATAACAACAGTTATTTAAAAGATGCTGATTATTTAAAAATAAGTAAAGCAGATAAGTTAATTGAAAGAAAATTAAATTGCTACAAAAGCTATATAGATTTTTTTTTTTTAAAAGGGATAAATGCCCACTACATTTTTTCCCTGAAATGGAAAAGAATAGCAGTTTATTAGATTAAATGAAAAAAGAGAAGTGTCTCTGATTTGATTTCAAATCCAATATCTGTTTCTTGTGGAAGTACTCTAAAACCAAAGGACCAAACCTAAACAGACTGAAAGCTGGGGGAGTAGTCTTAGTTTTCTCATGCCTGTGGGGCTATTACTACCAATTCTGTGGATTTTATGCCAAAATGTATCTAGAGAAATCATCTTATGCTTCTAGGTACATTAAGCAGTGAAGAATTATCACAACTGAATTCACATATTCCAGACAGCATAGCAACAAAAAATAAAAGAGGAAAACTGGCAGAAATGTGACAGTAGATTATTATTGTAACAAGCCATGACAAATGAAGTTATGTATGCTTGGCTGTGGAATTGCTAGATCCGAAGATATGCTCATTTACTTTTTGTGTGTGTGTGTGTGTTGGAGTCTCACTCTGTTCCCAGGCTGGAGTGCAGTGACACGCTCACGGCCACCCCAGCATCAACCTACTGGGCTCCAGTGATCCTTCCACCTCAACCTTCTAAGTAGCCAGAACTACGGATGTACGCTACCACGGCCAACTACTTTTTGATTTATTATAGGGATGAGGTCCCGCCAAGTTGCCCAGGCTGGTCTCGAACCCGCGGGCTCTGGCAGTCCACTTGCTTCAGCCTCCCAAAATACTGGGATGACAGGCTGAGCCACCGAGCCCTGCCTAATTTTTGTAGATAAACTTTCTTTAGCAGTTATACTCTCACCAGCAGTTTATGAAAGGGCCTGTTTTTCTTTTTCTTTTCTTTTTTTTTTTTTATCAGGCTGGAGCACAGTGGCACACACAGCTACTGCAGCCTCACCTGTCGGGCTCAGATGATTCTTCCGCCTCTGCCTTCAAAGTAGCTGGAACTGCAGGCGTGCGCCACCACCCCTGGCTAATTTTTTGATTTCTTGTAGAGATGAGATCTTGCCAAGTTGCCCAGGCTGGTCTCGAACCCTGGGCTCAGGCCATCCTCTCGCCTCTGCCTCCCAAAGTGCTGGAGCAACAGGCATGAGCCACTGTGCCCAGCGAAAGGGCCTGTTTTTCTGTGTCACTGGACTGTGGGTGCTATCAGACTTTTTTGCCTTTGCAATCTGAGAAATGAAAGTGATACATTGTGTTGATAGATTTCAGGATACCAAGGCAGATCTTTGTCCTTGGAGTGGGCTCTTAAGAGACAGTGTAGACAATGCATTTTCTCCCTCTTGCCTCTGAGCATAATAGAAGGTAATGACTTAACATTTTGTCTTCTTTCAGAAGAGAAGTGTGATTGTATGCTGAATTTTAAGGGATTTTTGTTATCCATATAGGTTGAAGCCTGTAGGTTATATAGCAAGTTCTCTGCTCGTCCAAGCAGTGTGGAAGCCATCCCTTCTGTCATTGAAAAGGTACGGTACTTAATAACAAGCCCTCCAAGTCAACTGGGTTTTCTCAGTTGCTCATACTTATGTTATTTTTACTCTTAAATAGAATGAGTGACAGGAATGTACCTGGGCAGTTAAAAATGCTATTGTTGAAAAGCCATTTACATTTTAATGTTCACTCTCATTATATTTAATTATAGAAAGAGAGAAGTAAAATAAGTTATTTTTGGAAAAATTTTCTCCTGTGCTGTAGTTTTTAAAATTACCATTTTAATTATATAAAAGTAAAGAGAAAGTTAAAGAGCCCTTGGTTACACTTACACTTTCTCTCATGCTTTTGCAGAATGTTATTTTTGAAAATTGTGACTAAAACATTTATAAGACCATCTCTTAGTTAACGAAACAGCATACAGGTTGAGTATTTCTTGTCTTGGGACCAGAATGCTTGGACCCATAAGTGTTTCTGATTTTAGATCTTTTCGGATTTTGGAATATTTGCATATACTTAATGGAGATATCTTGGGGATGTGACCCAAGTCTAAATATGAAATTCACATACACCTTATACACATGACCTGAAGATACATTTTTTTTTTTGGGTTGGAGTCTCACTCCGTCACCCAGGCTAGAGTACAGTGGCACGCTCACGGCCACCCCAGCGTCGACCTACTGGGCCCTGGCAATCCTGCCTCAGCCTTCCAAGTAGCCGGAACTACAGGTGTGCACTACCACACCTGGCTAAGTTTTGATTTATTGTAGAGACAAGGTCTTGCCAAGTTGTCTGGACTGGTCTCAAACCCGCAGTGGTCTCAGGCAATCCACTCACCTTGGCCTCCCAAAGTGCTGGGATGACAGACGGAGCCACCGAGCCCGGCCTGAAGATACTTTATTTTTCCCGTGTGCACCTGCGTTTTAGCTGTGACTTGTCATGTGAGGTCAGCTGTGGAATTTTCCACTTGTAATGTCGTGTTGGCACTCAAAAAGTTTTGGATTTTGGGAGATTTTGGATTAGAGATACTCAACCTTTATTATAAATTCAGGTAACCAGCGTTTATGTGTGAAATTACATTTGAGCTGTTTCAAAATCATGAATTATGAAAACCACTTGGCACATGTGGCAGTTTCACGGTTTCTGAAAACTCTGCCAGGTTACCAGAATTAGGAAGCAGGAGAAAGTACATGTTAAGGTGTAAAAACTTGCCAGGCAATGTCTCATGAGTAATTTCCAAGGCTAATGTGGTTGGGCATGGTGGCTCATGCCTGTAGTCCCAGCACTTTGCGAGGCTGAGGTGGGGAGATTGCTTGAGGCCAGGAGCTCAAGACCTGTCTGGACAACATTAGGAACCCCTGTGCCTACCAAAATAAAAATAAAAAGTTAGCTGGGTGTGGTGGTGCACCTGTAGTCCCAGCTCCTTGAGAGGTTGAGGCAGGAGGATCATTTGGGCCCAGAAGTTCGAGGCTGCAGTGGGCTGTGATCATACCACTACACCTTAGCCTGGGTGACAGAGAGAGACTCTATCTCTTTAAAAAAAAAAAAAGAAGTGCAAAACAACATGAATTTAAAAGCCATGAATGGATACTTTTTTTCCCTCTCTCTACTTTTGTTTCATTTTATTTTTTTTTTGAGACAGGGTCTTACTCTGTACCCAGACTAGAGTACAGTGGCATCATCCTAACTCATTGCATCCTCGAATTTCTGGGCTCAAGCAGTCCTCCAACTTCAGCCTCCTGACAAGCTGGGATTACAAGCGTGCACCCCCACACCTGGCTAGTTTTTAAATTTTTTTTTGCAGAGATAGAGTCTAGATTGGTCTCAAACTCCTGGGCTCAAGCAATCCCCCCAGCTTTGCCACCCAAAGTGCTGGGATTATAGGCATACACCACCACACATGGGCCTCTCTGACCTTTTAAACAAAGATATCATTAAAAATATATACACTCAACAGAGGACATTTCAATTTTAATTATATATTGTTTTCTCCACCTAAGGATGTTCAGAAAAATTAAAATAGTGCTCGTTTCGCAGTTTTAAATTATCTCCAAGTGGCGTATGCTAAGACTGAGACTTTTAAAATCTTTTTTTCTGTTTGTGATGAATGTAGGCAGTGAGAAGCAGTATCTACGGTCGCCCAGGTGCTTGCTATGTTGACATGCCTGCAGACCTTGTGGACCTCCAGGTGGACGTGAGTGCTGTCAAGTGAGTGATGGTGACACGGAGTTCTTCCGGAAGTGCTCATACATTATCATAATGCTTGCCTTTTAGAAAGAATTTACCTGACAGTGTATAAGGTAATCTCTGGTTGTCTTCACTTTTGCTGGTTTAGTAATTAAACTGAGTCCCAGCCAGAGGACTTAGTTCTCTTCATTAAGATGATATCATTTAGTAATTATTTTGGATTTAATTACGAAATCAAACTGGGCTTGGTGGCTCAGCCTGTAATCCCGCGCCTTTGGGAGACTGAGGTGAGTGGATTGCCTGAGCCCGCAGGTTCGAGACCCACCTGGGCAGCGAGACCTCATCTCTACAATAAATCAAAAAATCAGCTGGGCGTGGTAGTGCATGCCTGTAATTCCGGCTCCTCGGAAGGCTGAGGCGGAAGGATCGCCGGAGCCCAGCAGGTCGAGGCTGCGCTGGCCTGGAGTGGCCACTGCACTCCAGTCTGGGCGACAGAGTGAGACTCCAACTCAAAAAAAAAAAAAAAATTACGAAACCAAATACTTAGGGCTTCCGGAATTCCTCATTCGAAATTATGCTTGCAGTAACTGTGAACATGCGTCCCATGAACGTAGTGTGGGTCACTGAGCATCTTCAGAGGGTAAGTCAGGCAATGAGGTGTGGCTGTTGATAGGTGTTAGAACTCAGCACAAAAGGTGTCTAGCTGTCTCTGTGATTGACAAATATTCTGACACCATTCACTGTGTCCTCTTACTCCTTACATAAGCACTAAGTGAAAAGAAGTACAAGACACACTTTTTCAGGGGTATCCACGTCCCCTGGCCAAGGTGGTCTGTGAGTTAATGCCTCAGCCTGAGTGCCATTTGGTGCGTTCCTGCTGCTGGGGACCACATGGTTCCCTCGTGACTATAGCCAGACCGGGCATTACTTTCCACTCTGGGCGCCAAGGAGTGGTTTTGCTAGGGAGAGTCAGACAAAAAGGAAATCTGTCCTGTGTAATACATGATAGTCAAAATAAAATCGAGGGGGAGGACAAGCCTCAGGGAAGTTAACCCGTGAACTTTTTTTGTGTGTGTAAAGGTTGAATGTCAAGCCGGGCTCGGTGGCTCAGCCTGTAATCCCACGCCTTGGGAGGCTGAGGTAAGTGGATTGCCTGAGCCTGCAGGTTCGAGACCCACCTGGGCAACTTGGCAAGACCTCATCTCTACAGTAAATAAAAAAATTAGCCGGGCATGGTAGCGCATGCCTGTAATTCTGGCTACTCGGAAGGCTGAGGTGGAGGGATCGCCGGAGCCCAGAAAGTCGAGGCTGCGGTGGCTGGGAGCGGCCACTGCACTCCAGTCTGGGCGACAGAGTGAGACTCCAACTCAAAAAAAAAAAAAAAGATTGAATGTCCGCTTTTATTATGTGTCCAAGTTATACAACATGTTTTGCATCAATTAGAATAAATGAAATATCACAGTCAGGACTTGGTATTGAGAAATACTTAACTTTGACCAACAGCTTGCATATTTCTTCTACTAATACATATTGTGATATTAAAATATTAACCCAGCCAGTGAGTGGAGGTTTGGGGAGGCATTTAGAAGTACAGGCTGGGACACAGTGTCTGGTTCCATTCAGTCTCTACTTCATGTCATCTCGGCCGTGGTCAAATTACTTTCTCGAGTCTTTTTCCTTCAATGGTGAAATGAAGATAATGGAGACACCTAACCTCATTGGTTTGACAATTAAATGAGAATAAATGGCACATCACAAGTACTTAATCTTACATTTAAGCGTGGCTTTTACTTCTCCTACAGCCATTACTACTGCCACTGCAGTGCGGAGCCATTAACCTCGATTTTCTGTCAGTGAGTGAATCAGCCATTTCACTGGCCATCGGATGATATCAGGCAATAATTGTTAGTTTGTTGGATATGGTAATAGTGTTATCATTGTACAGGAGAAGGTTCTTATCCTTTAGACCTACATAAGGAAGTTTTTTTCTTTTTTTTTTTTTTTTTTTTTAGTTGGAGTCTCCCAAGCTGGATGCAGTGGCACACTCAACCACTGGCCTCTGGTGCTCCTTCTGCCTCAGCCTTCCAAGTAGCCGGAACTACAGGCACACGCTGCCATGCCTGGCTAATTTTGGATTTATTGTAGAAATGAGGTCTCACCAAGTTCCCCAGGCTGGTCTAGAATCCGTGGGCTCAGGCAATCCAGTCTCCTTGGCCTCCCAAAGTGCTGGGATTACAGGCTGAGCCACCGAGCCTGGCCAAGGAAGTTTTCAAGGGTGCCATGTCTTGATGCCTATGATTTACTTGAAAATGGTTCAGAAAAAAAGTACATGCTTGTATGTGCATATGCACAAATGTAGTAAGATGATCTTAGTTCTTGGGTCTACATGCTGGGTATATGGGGTTTAGTGCACTGCTTTTTTTTTTTTTTTTTAAGTTTCTGTGTATTTGAAGTTTTCACAATAAAGTCAGAGTTGGCCTCTTTTACGCAGCAGGGCTCTTTGTTCCAGGTATGTGGAGCGCTGCCTGCCACCTCCCATCAGCTTGGCAGAGGCCTCTGCTGTGCACACAGCCGCGTCTGTCCTGAGGAAGGCCACGAAGCCCCTTCTGATCATCGGGAAAGGTAGAACGCACAGAGCTCACAGCTCACTGGGCTCTTGAGAGAACACTGATTCTTTGCAGAAATCGGCTTTGTTATTTATTAGCATCTGCTCTAATGTTGGAAGTTGGAAGGCGTCCTCTTCATGTAGCATTTATTATTTTGAAATTAGAGAATTACTCTTGAATGCCCAGACATCTTGCCCTTCTAAGGAAATACCGCCTACTACATTTCTTTGGTCTTTTGAGTGAAATGTATTTGTTCTATTACAAAAATTTTAGAAAATCCAGAAAAGTAGAGAGAAAAAAATATCTCCATCCAAGGCAACCGTCTTTAACATTTAGTACTTGCCTGTTCCTTTTTCCATGTGGATTTTGCATATTGTAGTCATACTACACAGATAGGTTTGTATTCTCCCTTATTCATTTAGCATTCTCTTAAAAGTATTTTTGCCAAGTACTGTTTGTGTGGAGTAATTGCTCCATAGTCAGGATTTAAGGTGGATCTCCAGAAAGAAAACTGAGCTAGAGGGGTGGCTGTTTTTAAGAGTCTTGGTGCACATTGCCAGGTTGCTTTCTCCTCAGCTGTTGCACCAACCAATCTGTACCATCAGCAAGGTAGCCTCTCTCCTGTGTTCTAGAACTGAGGCTGCTGGGATCACCTTTGGACACACTAGTCAATTATCAGCCGCTTAGGGACTCAGCATTGAGGGTCCCAAAAAAAGGCATACACCATTTAAGAAAGGAAGAGACCGTATTAAAATTGTAATACTCAATATATACCAATAACAAGGTGAATACATGTCACGTGTGACTTCTGCAATTACAAGAGCAGTTCAAAGCAGTTGCCCTCAGCATGAAGACACCTCTTATTACAGCAAACTAAAAGTGATAGATAACATCTCTTAAAATGGGTACACATTTTTTTGGCACTCCCAGTATATAAAAACTAAAAATAGGCCGGGTGCAGTGATTCACGTCTGTAATACCAGCACTTAGCAAGGCCAGTGCAGGAGGATTGCTTGAGTCCAGTAGTTCAAGACCAACATAACGAGACCTCATCTCTGCAAAAAATTGAAAAATTAGCCAGGCATGGTGGTACATGTCTGTAGTGGCAGTTACTCAGGTGGCTGGGGCAGAAAGATGTCCTGAGCCCAGGAGTTCGAGGCTGTGGAGAGCAGTGACTGTGCCGTTGCACTCCAGCCTGAGGAACAGAGTGACACTCCAACTCAAAAAACAAAACAAAGCAACAACATCAAAACCCCAAAAAGTAGTTTTGGTAAAAATGGTGTAAACAGAAAAAATGGAGGGCAGAGCTGAGTTGAATGCCTTGATCGTGTATCATGTCTGGGCTCCAGGACTCAGACAGCTGCTTTGAGTCTCAGTTACTGGCTTGTTAGACTGGGATATAACTGCCTCCACAGGACAGAACCAAATAGCAGATGTGTGGAAAGCACTTGGTGGATGGTGTGTTTCCTTCTTCCTCCAACAAACATTGGATGCGTGCGTATGATAAGGCGGGATTGTAGACCACAGTCCAACAGTGGGTCCTGCCATGGAGAGATGGACCTGGTCACCCCAGGTGTGGCAGACTCTTACTGGTGTGTCCAGGGGGCACGGGCTTCTAGGGACAGCAGCAGCGTGCTTGTGTGGATCCCACAGAGAGGCCAGCGAATGCACAGTGCCAGGGAACAGTGGAGACTAGGTTGCCTTGTGGACAGAGACCACAGGCGGTGTAGGAGAGGACACAGGATTCAGAGATCCGAGACAGGCTTGCTGGCTGGGGGAGGGGCTGCTTCTCATCACACACGCATGCAGAGAACATTCTGGGTAGTTTTGGAGGGAGGAGCATTGGACTGAATCTGGAAGTGCACTATGTGCCAGGATTCAGTAGAGAATTGTAAGTTTTGAACACAGAGTAATGTTATACTAGCCCCCCCCAAAATATGAAGCTACATAGCCAAAAAATATAGTGGCCTTGACGACACAAGGAATGGAGTCACTCCAGTATTTCCACCATAAGTTGTTTTCTGTGTCATCAAGGGCATGGGGCACACCCCACAGTCACACAGCTGTCAGGGCAGACAAGAGTCTGCCCCACTTGGCTGGCTGTCATGGTCATGGAGTTGTGGCACCTGGAAAAGTATGCAGTCCTAGGTGTGCCCTTGCGGTCTCCTACCTGGACCAGGAGGCTGTGCAGAGCAGCTCTACTGCCTTGGAGAACGGCATGTGTGGGTGAAGAGACCTTTCTCTTTCAGGGCAGAGTTCTTCCCTGCCCGCCAGGGCTCCCCGTGAAGACGGGGGTTCAGGGAGTTGTGGGTCGTGTTCGGGGCCGCAGCCTCAAATGGGTGAGCCACCGCAGCAAGAGGGAGGTTGGATTTAATTTTAGGGTAGACATCCTTCAGTGTCATTGAGAGTAGTGGTGGGGGAATTAGAACTTCTGCTTTCCTGAGCGTTCTAAAGTGCCAAAGGTAAAAACCGTAGTCATAGTCTGTTTCGAGTTTAAACCCATGTATAAGCAGGAGAATATTTGAGTGGATCTAAGAGGAATTTGGGGCTGGGCTCACTGGCTCATGCTTTCTGTAATCTCAGTATTTGGGGAGGCCGAGGTGGGAGGATGGCTTGAGACTAGGAGTCTGGGGCTTCAGTGAACTGTGACAGCATCCCTGCGATCCAGCCTGGGCGCCAGACAAAAAGCCATTTCACTTGAAATGGTGTTAAGGGTCACGGTGCCTGGAGCTTCACTGAGTCGTCCACGACGTGCCTTTCTTGTAGGTGCTGCTTACGCCCGCGCGGAGGAGAGCCTCAGGAAGCTGGTGGAGCGGTGCAGACTGCCCTTTCTGCCCACCCCCATGGGGAAGGGCGTTATCCCTGACAACCATCCCTGCTGCGTGGGAGCAGCCAGATCCAGGTGCGTGGCCTTCCAGGCTCTCACATCTCGCCTGGACAGGGTTTGGCCGCTTGAGTGTTTCGTGACCTTCATACGTCTAGGAAGAGCTTCTGATAGAGCCGGGTCGTTTCACGCCCTCCTGTTCCTCGGGGCTTGTCAGCACCTCAAAGATGTCATCAGTGTCTCTGGCCCTCGTGGTTTCTCAGGCGCACCCTGCCTCTGTTCAAATTGTCGTTCCCGTGTGTGGGGTGTTGTTTTCCACTGGTTGCTCCCACGATTTCTTTTATCTTGGTTTTCAGCAGTTTGAATATGATGTCTGGACATGGTTTCCTTTTGTTTTCTTTTTCTGTTTGGAGTTCTCAGATCTTCTTGAATCTGAAAATTTATGTCTCTCCAAATTTGGAAGGTTTTCTCTCTTCTTTCTTGAAATATTTCTTTCCACATCATTCTTTTTCTCCTCTTGGAACTCCAGTGATACTAATGTTAGATATTTTTATACTGTCCCACACGACCGTGAGTACCCTGTTCAGTTTTCTTTTCAGTCCTTTTGTCTTATATTTTCTTTCTCTGCTGAGAACTTCTGGCTTTTTACGTTTATTTCAGTACTGTTTTTCTTTTCTTCATGGAGCATAGTTATAATTAATAATTGCTCTAAAGTCTCTGTTTATTAGTTCCAACATCCGGGTCATCTTGCATTGGCATCTACCATTATCTTTTCTTTTGAGAATTGGTCATATTTTCCTGGTTCTTTTTGTACTAAGTAATTGTGGATTGTTTTGTATTTATTTTGTGAGGTTCTGGGTCACATTAAGATCCTCTGTAGAGAGTTGGTTTTTGTGTGTGTGTTTTCACAAGGAATCAAGTGGGTTAGGTCAACTTTGGACGATGAGTTCTCTCTTACGTGTTGAGGCCAGTGGTTCCAGGGTCTGTTCCCTTTCAGAGCCTTTGTTGTGCTACTTTGGGTCTCTCTGTACAGGCCAGCTCAGAGGGGCCCCAACATGTTGCTCTTTCAAACCCAGGATTAGAGTTTTATTTTCACCCCTCCCTAGGACCTCCCTGGCTCCCCCCTCTCTCTCTCTCATGCCCATGCCCAGGCGTCCCTCTCCCGGCCCTTGCCGCCACCCTGTAGGACCACGTGACTCCCTGCTCTGTGGAACCAAACAACTGGAGCTCCAGAAGGAGGAAGTAACGGGAAGTCCCCCTACTCTTCAGACCACAGGCCCCTTCTCCCAGCTCCTCCTGCCTGAAAGGTGGCATCTCCAGGGAAGCTCAACTGCTTGGGAGCCACCACCATGTGGCTCTGCAGCATGGCTGCCCTGGCAGGGCTCCGAGGGAAGGAGACAACAGACACCCCCCATCGCCCCAGCTGGCAGGGGCCCCTTACCCTGATCTTCTGCCCAGAGAATGCGATTTCTCTGCAAGCAGGGCTGCCCTTGATCAAAGCCAGGAGATAAACGAGGGGGGAAGCCCTACCCTCTCACCTGTGTGGGCTGCTTCCTTGGACTCGCCCTTTGTGACTGGCTCTGGAAGCCTCCTCCTCTTAGACTTTTAAGACATACTTTTTGATACTCTGTGCCTTTTTTCTTTTAATTTCTATGTTATGAAACATTCTAAGTACAGACAGGAAGAGAGATACTAGAATGAGCATTTACGTAACTGCCACTCAGCTTGACCAGTGCAAACTGAGAAATTCAGGGATGAGTCTCTGAGCCAAAAGGTTTACTTGGGAGACACCTCCAAGAAGGAGTGTAACCCAGAACATGCTCACAGCTCAGGGTGGTCTTCGGTGTGTCTGGGGAGCAGAGGAAAGGGTTAGGGCTTTCTTAGGGAAAGAAGAGGCTGGTGAGTGGTTTTAAAAGAAATTTCAACTGTGCCTGCGGTGTCGAGAGCTAGGTAAAATTTGCCATCCTGAAGGACAGCAGGCTGTTTCTCTGAATTGGGCTTGTAAGACAGCAGTCAGACGAGTGTGTGGTAGAAGTGGCCAGCTGCCCTTGTATGGCCCGTGTAGGAAGCTGCGGTTTGGAGCAGTTTCTTGTGATGCTTCCTGTGACTTGGCAAATCATGCGTGAGTGTCCCCGCTTGGCCTTTCCTGGCCCCAGTTGCCAGGCTTTGACGCAGGTGACTCCATTTTGAATCTGGCAGCTTTGGCATCAGATACTCACCTTATGATTATGTTGCTTTAGGGTTTATGATTTTGTTTGGGAAACAAAAACTCATGGATGCGTTTGCAGTCTTGTGTGTATCTTTCTTGATCCCATTCCCTCTCCCTGTCCATAGTCACTACTGCCATGCACTTAGTGTTCTTCTTAGTCTCATGAGTGGATTAAAATTAGTGCTGAGGGTTTTGAAAATGTCATGTTTGCTGCTCAGTTGTTAACTGTTGCTCATTTAAAGCTGTTTTTGATAGATTATGTCTTTACTTTGTATTCATATTAATATACTTTGTGCAGTAGCCAAATTAATTCATATGCTATTAACTTTTTAATACTACAACTTAGGTTGAACTGAAGTTTGTCTTCATTCTAGCCAAATTTTATTTTACTTTATTTTATTTTACTATTTTTTTGAGTAGGAGGTCTCACTCTGTGGGCCAAGCTGAAGTGCAGTGGCATGATCATGGCTCACCACAGCCTTGACTTCCTGGGCTCAGGTTGTCCTTCCACCTCAGCCTCTCAAGTGGCAGGGACTGCTGGCTGGTACCACCATGCCTAGCTAATTTTTTAAATTTTTTTGGAGCGATACGGTCTCGCTGTGCTGGCGCAGCTGCTGTTGAACTCCTGGCTCAAGCAATCCTCTCGCCTTGGCCTCCAAAGTGCTGGGATTACAGGCATGAGCCACTATGCCCAGCTTTTGCCAAATTTTACGAAGATAATATTAAGGACATTAATAGTGTAAAAAGATTGTAAGGGACTATACATAATCGCATCAACAATTGTTAGAGTTTCAGTAAGTACATCTATCCTGCCAGTTAGAGCTCTCATCTGTTTATTAAATTGGGCCCCACAGTACTAAGACAGTATGTGAAGAAGCTTTCTTTTTGAGTATATAATTTCTGTGAAAAGTTGCGTTCATCACTGAGAAAGACAGAAGCGGCCATTATGGATTGTGTGTGGCAGAAGATAGGAAAAATGGGAAACAGACATAAGAAGCAGAGATGCGAGAAATGAAGTGCAGAACAAAACCCACAGCAGCTGTGATACGAAACTCTCCTGGAAGGCGGGGACATTCAGGCTGGTCAGCAGCAGCAGCCACACGCAAGGGGGGACCCAAAAGACCCCAGCATTTATTTGTAAAAAATCACACGTGTTTAAACTTCAGTCACCTTCAAGGGACTCACCATTTGATACAATGTACCTATCAAGATGCTTTTTCCACTGCTCAAAACAGTTTTGAACTCAACAATTTTGATGCCTTTTAGTGCTCCTGCTGTTTTTTATTTTACTTCTTCCACATCAGCAAGCATTTCCCTTTGAGGACTTTTTTCATCGGGGGGAAAAAAGTCGCTTGGGGTGAGATAAGGTGAATAGGGAAGGCAGGGCATGAGGGTCATGTGTTTTTTGGTCAAAAACAGCACAATGTGGGCAGGTACAAATTGTTGTGGGGAAAGAACCAGTCACCTACTTGCCACAAACATTCCCTGAAGCCAAATGCAGCCTCTCACAACAATGCTAAGTGGTACACCGATGCCAAGGCGTTCCTGGAATGCTTACCTAGCAGGGGAAGCCTGTACTATCCTGCCTTCCAAATAAAGATAGTTCCAGGTTTTTTTTTGGTGGGGGCATCCCCCTTGTTGTACATTATAAGAGCTGAATCTGAAACCTAATGACTCAGATTGAAAACAAGACTGGGCAAAGATATATAAAGTAATGTTTCTTTTTGTGAAAACAAGGAGGGTTGTGTTATCAAAGCAAAAACCATTAAAAGATTAGAAGTTATGTTGACCAAGTTTTAAGATATGTAGAAGAAAACCATTAGAAATATAGTTGGTAAGATATCTTGGAAAGCAATCCAGGAATATGAATCAGTAGTCTCAGAGATACCTGCTTTCAGGAAGCAAGTTGAAGAGTGCATTAAGACGTAAGCATAAAGACCTGCAGCCCAGCACTGTTAATAACAAAGAAAATATCCAACAGTTGAGAAAACAGTAAATGAACTGTGTTGTATGCATTCAGCAAATATGTAACCTTTAAAAATTGTGTTTAGGCACTTAATGACAAAAGGAGAATGGTCATGGTAATAGTATTATGTGGCAATTTTGTTTTTTTCTTTATACTACTTCTGCTTTTTCCAGATTGAATACAGTGGGCCTCTATTAATTTTTCTAATGATAAAAGTTAATAAATAAGATAGAATATATAGAGAGTTTATAGTAATTTTTTTGTACTTAATTCATCTTTTGGATTACTAAATAGAATGGTTTCATAAAGTAATGTAGCTTGAAAGATCAAATTTGCCCTAACAGGTGATTCTGAAGTCTAATGTAAACTCCAAATTATATTTTTCTAAATACTTAGAAATTAATTATAGAATCATTCAAATAAAAAATACATTTATACTTTTTATGTTATATCAGGTTTTTTTTTTTTTATTAATAGGGCTTTGCAATTTGCTGATGTAATTGTGTTATTTGGTGCCAGACTAAATTGGATTTTACATTTTGGACTACCTCCAAGATACCAGCCAGATGTGAAGTTTATCCAGGTATTGAGAGAGGGACTCACATCCGACCTCTCAGCTCATTGTTCTCTCTCTCAGCCGTCATCCACGCTGCTTTCTTCATGGCTTCCGGAAAGAATGATTTCTCTGTTTACAAAAGCAGAATTTTTAAATGGTCTGACATCATTATAGGTACCAAGATAAGCTGCCTTCCCAAGCTTATGAAGCGTAATGTGGGGCTTTACTTCTAAACAGAAAAACCTTCAAAGTCCAGTTTCAGTAGTTTGAAAAGTGTATTTTGCCTGTTCTTCACAGTTCAAGTATATTTATTTATTTATTTTTTGGAGTTGGAGTCTCACTCTGTTGCCCAGACTGGAGTGGAACGGCCGCTCCCGGCCACTGCAGCCTCGATTTGCTGGGTTCCGGCGATCCTTCCACCTCAGCCTTCCAAGTAGCTGGAACTACAGGCGTGCTACCACGCTCGGCTAATTTTTTTTTTTTTTTTTTTTTTTTTTTTTAATTGTAGAGATGAGGTTTCGCCCAGTTGCCCAGACAGGTCTCGAACCTGCAGGCTCAGGCAATCCACTCACCTCAGCCTCCCAAATCGCGGGATTACAGGTTGAGCCGCCGAGCCCAGCTTTAAGTATATTTAAAGGTAGGGAAAAGGGATGCAAGAGGGATGGTGGATTAGAAGGAAACATTCAGCATCGTTAGGGAGTGAGGTTTTCTTTTAGATGCCAAGATTTTCTCTTGGCCTTTGGCTGGAAATTCCTAAGTGACCCTGCTTGTCCCTGTGTTGTTCAGTGGCATCTCTGACCTCCCTTGATGATGCTCGTGTCATTGTGAGCCTCTGTGTGAGCCAGCTTCCTTGCTGGTTTGGGAAGTGCTGCCTGTGTGGAGCTTGCACACCTGTGTGCTCTACACGGCTCAGCCTCACCTGTCTTCGCGAGGCGGCAGCTTCTAACAGCCCCTTTCCCACCCAAGGCCACTGAGAACCACAGCCACAGACAAGCAGGGCCGCAGGTTGTACCTGAAGACGCTGTCCCACTTGATTCCAGAGTGGAACACGTGCCTGGGCAACTAGATCGTCCTTCCTTGCAGAAGCCATTTTCACATGTCCGTGGCCATCTGGAAGTGAAACATCTGAGCACATGGGGACGTGCCCATCCACATTCTAGAAGTGGTTCTCAGAGGTGGCTCCCTGGACAGGCAGCATCAGCACCACTGGAAATCTGCAGGAAATGCACGTGTCCAGGCCCACTGCACCCTTCTGAAACCAGACACGCCTCGTGGACCCCTGCAGTTGATGGCTGCACAAGCCCACTGGGAGATTCTTAGAGATGTGCAGATTGACCAACACTGCTCCAGATGTAATAGAAATTAATGAGAGTTAAAAACTGTAATTGATCAGGTCAGGTGCATTCCTGTGGGCGTCAGGGAACAATACCCAAACTCCACAGCGTAGATCTTAGAATGCTGGAAGATGGTGAGGTGCTGCACAAGTTGGGAGGTTCACATAGCCCCGTGGACTCTCAGCAAGGAACACGCCCCTGTATCGTTGGGTGCATATTCACAGTTTACGTCTTCAGCCCCGATGGACTTCTTAAAGACGTGTAAGAACAAGCAGGGGTCATTCTTCAGCCTTGTCTCTGTTTCAGGTGGACATCTGTGCAGAGGAGTTGGGAAATAATGTAAGACCTGCTGTCACTTTACTAGGAGACATCGATGCTGTCACTAAACAGGTGAGAATCTTTGCCTAGGTTTTAGTTTGCATGGATTGCTCTTTAGGGAACAATCTGTTCTTGAAAGTGTTTCAGTCTTGATTTGCTTGGTAATAGTGCTACTATTTAAACAAAATGTATGCTGGAAAACCGTTTTTTTGGGGTTTTTTTTTTTGAGTTGGAGTCTCTGTCGCCCAGACTGGAGTGCAGTGGCCGCTCCCGGCCACCGCAGCCTCGACCTGCTAGGCTCTGGCAATACTTCCGCCTCAGCCTTCCAAGTAGCCAGAATTACAGGCATGCATTACCACGCCCAGCTGATTTTTTGATTTATTGTAGAGATGAGGTCTCGCTGCCCAGGCGGGACTCGAACCCGCGGGCTCAGGCAATCCACTCACCTCAGCCTCTCAAAGGCGCGGGATTACAGGCTGAGCCACTGAGCCTGGCGGAAAACCGTTTTTTTGAGTTGCAGTCTCACTCTGTTGCCCGGGCTAGGGTATAGTGGCACGCTCACAGCCACCGCAGCCTCGACCTGCTGGCCTCAGGTGATCCTTCCGCCTCAGCCTTCCAAGTAGCTGAAACTACAGATGCGAGTCACTATGCTTGGCAAATTTTTTGATTTACTGTAGAGATAAGGTCTCACCAAGTTGCCCGTCTGGTCTCAAACCCCTGGACTCAGGCAGTCCTCTTGCCTCAGCCTTCCAAAGTGCTGGGATTACAGGTTTGAGCCACCGCACCTGGCCTGAAAACCATTCTTAAAATACAGCTTCGCAACTTGATGAATCCAGCTTCTTGTACCTAGGTCGTTTTTATGTAAGTTTTTTGCAAGGTGATTGAAAACTTAAAAGTCCTTCAGTGGCAAACAGTGATTTACTATAACAGGGTCCAGCTACTTGAAAAATTATAGGCCGGGCTCGGTGGCTCAGCCTGTAATTCCAGCGCTTTGGGAGGCCGAGGTGAGTGAATTGCCTGAGCCCACAGGTTCGAGACCCGCCTGGGCAACTTGATGAGCCCTCATCTCTACAATAAATCAAAAATTAGCTGGGCGTGGTGGCGCGTGCCTGTAGTTCCAGCTACTTGGAAGGCTGAGGCGGAAGGATCACCGGAGCCCAGCAGGTTGAGGCTGTGGTGGCCGGGAGCGGCCACTGCTCTCCAGTCTAGGTGACAGAGTGAGACTCCAACTTAAAAAAAAAAAAGAAAGAAAAATTATGATGCACCTTCCAGAGGAACTGAACTGACTTATGCACCAGACAAATCGAGCTTAGAGTTGCTTTAGGTCATCAAGGCATTTACTCTTCAGACTAAATCAGTGACTTTTCCAGGTTCTTTGTGCACAGTTTATAGATTTAACTGTGACAAGAGATGCAGTATAGCCACACCTCTCACTTGGTTGTGGATGATACAGACTGGCATGGTGATTGTGACTACACAACGCTGGGGTGTGCTTCGCAATCACTTAGTCTCTGCAGCCTTTTGGCTGTATCGTAGGAATGCAGGTGTTCGCCAGCTTTCCTCAGGTGTTCTGTGGAGGGGCGGGCTTTCCGTGGAGTGTCAAAGACTGAGGAGGGCTTCAGAGCCCTGCCTGAGGCGTGCAGCAGGAGCATGCCAGCCTGTCCTGGGAATCCAGCTTCTGGCAGAAGCCCACACAGGCCTGCCCTAAAGCCGTCCACGCGACCCCTGTCTGCTGCTGCTGCTAGAGTCGAGGGGTCAAGAGGGCGGGGTGGCCTTGTCTTCTGCTGAATGTCAGTGTGGCACGAGGTACATGTGAGACGTTTGTGTTAATAGGACGTAAGCTTATTTTCAGAAAGGAAAGAAAACGTTTGTGGTTTTTTAGCTCTTAGAAGAATTTGAGAAGACGCCGTGGCGGTACCCTTCTGTGAGCGGGTGGTGGAAAAGTCTGAGGGAAAAGACGGATCACAACGAAGCGGCCTCCAAGGTGAGATGGCCACTGAGCTCGTGGCACTGCACAGCCTACTGCAGCAAGACCTGCGTGTGCAGGACGCGTGTGCTCCTAAAAATTACCTTGTTGGCTCAGAACCACAGTTCACGGGAAGAGGGCTAGGGGACGGCTCTCCACACCTGGTGAGACATAACAGTACAGTGGGAACCTGGCACAAATGGGAGCACAGTTTGACACCTGCTTTAAAGTTAAAACATACACGCCCGTGGAGATGGCACTCTACCTTGAAAAGACCTGAAGCTTCTTGTGTAACTGAGCATCAGAGGGCTTGAAGCCATAAGTTGATGTGGCAGGTAGAGGGAGGGTGCTCTACCCAAACTGGAAATTTGGCTAGGTGCCGTGGCTCACACCTGAAAACCCAGCACTCTGGAAGCCCTAGGTGGGAGGCCTGCTTGTACCCAGGAGTTTGAGATCAGCCTAGGTAACATAGTGAGACCTCATCTTTACATAAAGTGAAAAAATTAGCCAGACATGTTGGTGTGCACCTGTAATTGCAGCACTTTGGGAGGCTGAGGAGGACGGATCACCTGAGCCCAACAGGTGAAGGCTGTGGTGAGCTGTGAACACACCACTGCACTCCAGCCTGGGAAACAGAGTGAGACCTCCACTCAGAAAGAAACAAGTTGATAGTTTGACCCAGCGTGTCTCCTTTTCATCTCCCTTCTGTGTCACCGTGGGAAACGTGTTTGTGTCTCTCTTGTCTGCACTCTGGCTCTGCTTGATAGTTTGGAATACATCACAACGCCAAGTCCCCAGGCCGTCCAGCACCAGCACCTAGCCCGCCATCTCTGCAGGTCTGGCGACATCTGCTTAAAGTCTCTGTGTGCTGGATGCATCCCTGCGACTGAGAGGCAGGTCTTGAGTGTCCTTGTGTCATGTTCCTGCATGTCCGCTGGGTGCAATTGTTGTGTTCCCTAGTGTTTCTTGTTGGCAGATCATGCGTGAGCAAATAGGAATTTGAGTGGTGCTCACTGGGCTCCGTAATTCATCGATGTCTCAGGATAAATCGCGTTTGCACAGCAGCATTGGGGCAAGACTGACTGCAGGTCGCCTAGGAGGGTAGGCACTTGCCTCTCCGTCTGCTGGAGTGGTGGAGGGTGCCCCACCCGTCTCGGGGCCGCTCTCAGAGCAGGTAGGGCAGGTGCTAGGCGAAGAGGCAGCGTGGCCTGGCGGCCTGGCTGCGGGAGCCCCACGACCTCCCTCCACCCCCAGGCGCATGGGACCACAGTGTTGCCTGGCTGGCTCCCTTCTTCCCCGGACACTGGTGGAGTGCATGTCTCCTGTCCCCTCTGCTCTCCGGTAGGGGAAGGACCAGTTTTCCAGGTTGATTTCCAAGATGGTAACTTTTCAATTTGAAGTTTGGGGCCATATTCCAGATGAAAATATTCTGGAATAAGATGTCGCATTTCTGCCCAGTGTTCCCCCGAGTGTGCGGGTGAGGAGGTTTGGTTTTGTTGAACCTCATGGTTCCTGGCGCTCTTCACTGTGGGCTCTTGGAGTCGGTCACACACACCCTGTGTCGGGGAGCTCCCAGAGGAGGGCTGTGTTCTGGCGTGTCCCCAGGACCGTGCACAGGCCACCAACCACCCTGAGGGGCCGTCGTGTAGCTCTCTGGGAACCTGCAGCTCACGGGTACGCCCGTCTAGTCCAGGCACCCTTGACTGCAGCCCATACCCTGGGTGTGTCCACTGCATCCCAGGCTCATCTGACTGTGTCCCCTCGGCCTTTTAGGAATTGGCTTCCAAAACGTCCCTGCCTATGAATTATTACACGGTCTTCCACCACATTCGGGAACAGCTCCCCAGGGACTGTTTTGTGGTGAGCGAAGGCGCCAACACCATGGACATCGGGCGCACCGTGCTACAGAACCACCTTCCTCGGCACAGGTGAGGCCTCCAGTGCGGGGTGGGGTGGTGGTTCCCAGGGGTGACTGTGTTTAACTGGAAGCTTCAATGACGCAGGGTAAGGAAGCAATGGAGGTGCGTTTGTTAGCTTACTCCTGCCTGCCTGTGGTCGCTGCTGAGGAAGCATTGTTACAGTTGTGCTTACTCTCATCTCCCTACTACCATCTTGTCTAAGTCAGGGACTCCCAAAGATCCCGAGCAGCTGGGGGAGCTCTTCATCAGGGGCTAAACTTCGAAACCACCCGCAAGAGCCTCGAGCCATCGTGAGCCCACGGGGAACATAATGCCACGGATGGCGTGGCAGTGAGACACCTGAACACCAGGTGCTCCAGGGGCTTTGGGATTGTCACAGATGCCGCCAGAGGAGGGGGATGCGGCCACACAGGGTGGATGGAAGAGTGTGGAACCACAGAGGGCTGTCTCAAGAAAAGACTCCCAAAGGCCAGTTGCGCCTTGACTGTGGGAAGATAGTTGTTGGTGGCAGTGAAGAAGGCAACACTGCAGAACATCACCCGAGAGACGATTCTGAACAGCATGGGAAACTGACTGAACCACGACAGACAGGCAGTGGCAGGTAAAGGGTCTCTGCCTTCACAAGCCTTGACGACCATGACTCCTTGGGTACAGTTGTCACTCGGAAATCACATACTGGGAAGGCCACGGTGTCAAGTAGGCAAGCCCTGTCCAAGCAAGAGGCCAGTGCTTCATCCAGCCACAAGGTCGGAGCGTTCTGGAAACTTTGCTGGGGTTGTGGAGGTGGCTTGGTGGGAAGGACAGCTTTGGTGATCAAGCAGACTTCACTGGTCATGATGGCTTTGACAGCAGCTATGGGGCAGTGACTGGCGGAAGCAGCTCTGGAGATGGGGAAGCTGCCGTCATTTGGGCAGTGACAGCACTCAGCCTTCAGGTTTGGGCCCCGTGAAGGAGGAACTCTGGAGGCAGAGGCTCTGGCCCTGAGGGGATGGAGGCTGTACGTTGCCCACCACGAGACCGAGGTGGCTGTGGCGGCACCAGTAGCAGCAGTGACGACGGCAGTGGCCGGGGTTGTAATCACTGCCAGGAGACAAAGCTCAGCAGGAGTGGAGAGCCAGAGGAGGGACAGGAAAGTGGCCGGTTGTGAAGGGTTTGTGGACGCAGCCACAGTGGTGGCAGGGCCCAGCAACCACGTGCTCACCGTGCTAGGAGATGTGCTCTAGGCCGGCGTCCCCAGCCTCTCTGTCATGAGGGACCGGTTTCCTGGAAGACAACTTTCCACGGACTGGGGTGGGGGAGGGGATGGTTTCGGGATGATTCAGGCTCTAACATGGGTTGTGCACTTCATCTCTGTTGTTGTGGCATTGTAATGTGTAGCAAAACATGTCGCATCCCGCCTCAGCTCCACCTCAGATCACCAGGCATGACATTCCCATAAGGCGCACGCACAGTTCACAGTAGGGTTCGTGCTCCTATGAGAAGCTAACGCCGCTACTGATCTGACAGGAGGCGGAGCTCAAGCTGCCGTGTGAGCAACGGGGAGCGGCTGTCGATACAGATGAAGCATCTCTCGCCCACCTGCCCACTGCTCTTCTCCCGCTGTGCAGCCCAGTTCCTAACGGACCGTGGGCCCTAACGGTGGCCCAGGGACCGGGGATCTCTGCTATAGACATTACCCATGTGTGTGGTCAAACAGCTTGAGCACTGTGTTTGTGACTAATTGTCTAACAGGTTATTTTAGCTTCTGTTCTGTGGAAAGCGTAAAGCATTCCAACAGGGTTTTAACATAGATTTTTTTCTTTGCACCTGTGCTGTTGATTGCTAAATGTCATATAGTGGGATCATGATAAATAAATATGCTTTAAAAAGCAAAAAAGAAAGCGTTTGAGAATCACACGTGCTCCGTGTACAGGGACGTGTTTCACAGAGTATTGACAAATAAGTTCCTCGCAGTAAAGACCGTATACTAAAGATAGAGCGATTTTGCTGTCCTTTGCTATTCCCTAAACTGTAGAGATGTGACTGCAAGGTTTGCGCCAACCCCAGCACCATGGCCTGCCCTGAGAGTTTTATCTCTGCCCTGTCCCTGCAGGCTGGATGCAGGTACTTTCGGAACCATGGGAGTCGGCTTGGGGTTTGCGATTGCAGCCGCCGTCGTGGCTAAAGACAGAAGTCCTGGGCAGCGGGTCATCTGCGTGGAAGGAGACAGTGCCTTTGGGTTCTCCGGCATGGAGGTGGAGACCATCTGCAGGTAAGGGCGTCCTGGATCGAGCGTTGCGTTCCTCAGTGTGAGGAGCCACGCACGAGACTCGCCCTGTGCAGGCCCCGGGCTGTCCTGAGGAGGCCAGTGTGGTAGCCCTGGCCTCCTCCCTGTATGCCACAAACCCTGACACTTTGGGGGGTCGTTTGGGGTCACTGGAAGCTAGTGTGGCTGGAGAGAACCTTGTTTGCCGCAGAGCGTGGTGGTGAGAGCACAGCCCCTGGGAAGGCAGCCTGGATTTAGTCCTGATTCTGCCACACCAGAGCCATGTCTCTCCTCTGAAATGGGAGTGGCAGTGGCCTCTGCCTTAGATGGTTGCGAGGAGCAAGTGGGGCAACCGGGGAGGATGTCGAGGCACTGCTCGGCGACCGGAAGCTACTCGCCTCATGTGTGAACACGAGGGATCAGGGCCTCGTGAGCTGGGGGGATTCAAGTGTGTTTGAATGTACGGGAGCTGTCGTGGTGTTAGCCAGGGCTCCGAGAAGGGCTTTTGGGAATCGTGTCTCGGGGCTTGCCCAGCTTTGGCGTATAAAATTTCATGGCCAGGCAAGATGCAGTCACCCCTTGGCACCCGCAGGGGATATTGCAGGACCTCCCTCACACACTGGCATCCACGGTGCTCAAGTCCCGGATATAAAATGGCGCAGCTTTTGCAGATAACCTGTGTGCATCCTCCTGTGTCTGTTCAATCATCTCTGGATTACTTATGACACCCAGTACAGTGTATGCTATGTCAGTTGTCATACGAGGTTGTTTAGGAAATACTGACAAGAAAAAAGCCTGTACATGTCCAATACAGACCCGATTCCTTTTTTCAAATATTTTTGGCCAATATAGTTGATTATATCCACAGGTGCGGAGCTCATGGCCATGGAGGGTGACTGTGTTTCTGTTAGAGTGTCCGTAGTGACAGCCAAGTGACACCAGAAAGCCGGTGCATGAGGGAGCCGGCCTCCTAGAGACCAAGACTCCTTGGGAGCATGGAGACAGTTGCCAGGCTCCTGCTGTTGGACAGTGTGCAGTTGGGTTTGTTTTTATCACCTGCCCTTGGAAGTAGCTTCAGAAAATAAAACCCATGCACTTCTTCAGTTGTTATTAAGTTGAATCACCCTCCTCTTTTGTGTGTGCTCTACCACGTGGCACACATTTGAGACTCTTTCCATGTTGACAACACGGCGGGATGTGTTTCTCACTGGATGACTTGAGCACACGCTGTGTATTCTAGTCCCTGTGTCTCTCCCACAGCTGCTAGCAAGGGCAGTTTCGTGTGGTGCTCAGTCGGTAGAAAGGTCAGTTGCACACAGTGCTCCCCGGAGCCCTGGAAGCATGCCGAAGAGGGTGAGTCAGGGGGCTGTTACTCGCCTGCCGGCTGGGTCTGTGGACACCCAGGTTCGGAAGAGCCCTATGGTCCGCCCAAGGTCCACCGCTGGGTGGCAGGGAAGCCAGATCCCCAGCTCTGAGCTTGCGTTCTTCCCATCATCGATGGTGCTTCGTGAATGCTCTGGTGTTCTTTCTTCGGGTAACCGGCGCCTGATCCTTTGCCTTCCTCTATTATCACAAAGGCTTATAGGAAATGTCCGTGTGTAAGTCAAATCTTCAGCCCAGAGGGCGGCAGTGGCTCCAGAATGAGGCCGACCGCCTTCGTTCTCGCTTCCCGCTCCCTCAGGTACGGCCTGCCGGTGGTTCTCCTGGTGGTGAACAACAACGGGATCTACCAGGGTCTTGACGCGGATGCCTGGAAGGCGCTGGCGCAGTCTGGGGACGCCAGCACAGCGTGAGTAGCTGGACGGAGGCATGCTTGCTCTTGTCTGCCCCACTCCTTGAGGCCGCTGGGTTGGCCGAGCGCAAGGTGGGGTGCCCTCGGCTGAGTGCAGCCCTCTGAAGGCTGGACTCCTGCTGCCTCCCGGTTCCTCTGGGCGCTGGGTATCCCTGTGACCAGGGAGGCCCTGCGGGCTCGGACGAACAGGTGGCTGCTGGCCTCGTCAGGAAAGGGCGTGCTCACCAACTCCCAGCCAGCTGCCTGTCATGGTGCTAGAGAGGCAGCGGCCCTGTGGGCGGACCACCCGAGGTCCTCTCTCCTTCACCCCTCAGCCAAGCCCTGGCATCTGCCAGCCTCGAACAGGGGGGCCTGGGGCACAGATGGCTCACGCCTCACCGACGGCCTTGTGGTGCAGTCACCACTCCCTTGTCCGCTTTTCTTTGGGGCCCTGAGTTGGTAGCGTGGCCCGTGCTGTCTAGTGTCAAGGCCACTGGGCACCTTGTGGTTGCTGCAGTGTACATTTAGGTGGATTACAAGTGGGTGGAAGCAGAGTTCAGTTCCTCGTGTGCCCAGTCATTGCCAGAGACCACAGCGCAGAGACAGTGGCCACTTGTGGGGAGCACAGGTGTGATGTGCTTCTGTCCTCACCGGAACGTAGGGCAGACGCTGTGGTAAGACCTTTCTGGAGAGCGGAGACGTCATGTGCTGGCCTCCCAGCTCGAGTGTTGAAGGCAGAAGTATGCCCTTCCGTCAGCTTAAACTTTTTTTGGATTATTTCATAGACTGGCGTTTTCTTTTTTCTTTTTTCAAGCCAGAGTCTCACTCTGTCACCCAGGCTGAAGTGCCGTGCCACACTCACAGCCACCCTAGCACCGACCTACTGGGCTCCGGTGATGCTTCCACCTCAGCCTTCCAAGGACCCAGAACTGCAGGCGTGCGCTGCCACACGCAGCTAATTTTTGATGTATTGTAGGTCTCGCCAAGTGACCTAGGCTGGTCTCGAGCCCACAGGCTAAGGCCATCCTCGCCTCGGCCTCCCAAAGTGCTGGGATGATAGGCTGTGCCACCGAGCCCGACCAGAATGACTTTTTCTAAAAGCTTTGAGCTGTAAATTTCATTGACTCGTGGCCTTGTTTCTCAGGGTGCCTCCAGTGTGTCTTCTGCCAAACGCACATTATGAGCAGGTCATGATGGCATTTGGAGGCAAAGGGTACTTTGTGGAAACGCCAGAAGAACTCCAGGAATCCCTGAGGCAGGCCCTGGCCGACACAGCGAAGCCCTCCCTCATCAACATCATGATCGAACCCCAGGCCACACGGAAGGCCCAGGTAAGTGCGCCTGCCCCTGAGCCTTGCCAGAACGTGCTCCCGCTGGGTCTTTCCAGGCCATTCCCGAGCTTGGCCCTTGTGGTGGACATAGGTGGCAGGTGTGTCGGGTGTGCTGTGGGAGCAGCAGGTGAGCAGACCCAGGCCCAGTCCGCCCCTTGCAGGGCTCACAGTCCAGTGACCTCACGACTGACGTGCCACGGCCAAGCAAGGGGGCTGCTCGGAAGGAAAGGGGCCCAGGTCTGAGCACACAGACAGCCCAGGAGTCAGGTTTATGTTGGGGTTGTGGGGAAGGCTTCTCGGAGGAGGTGATGCTGACATGGAGGTCAGCGGGATGGGTGGGGACTAGCTCGGCAGAGGGGAGAGGGGAGATGAGCCGGGCTTCTGTGGGAGGGGGGAGGGGCAGGGCCGAGGAAGAGACAGCAGGCCAGGGTGGCGGGAGGCGTGGCAGGGACACAGCCATGGGACCATCTGTACAGTCACAGTCCAGGTCGTTGGCGTGACCCCTCCCACCCCAGGGGAAGCGGCCTGTCTTGGGCCTCTCTGTCCTCTGGCCGGGCCTGTCGCTGCCCCCTTCTGGCCTGTCCCGTGCTCACCTGCACCTGCGGCCACTGCAGAGCAGACGTTCCCCCTGCTTTCGGCCTGGAGTCGTGGACATGGGTCTGCTGTGTGCTCGCTTTCTTTTATGAACAAGGCAGGGCAGATGGGTGAACAGACACCTGGGTGGTCAGTGAACTATAAATTAGCGGCTTTGGAAGGGTAAAATACGTAGAATTCTGCTGAAATTCTGTTTGTAGAAAAGCAGACGGCAGCGGCCTTGGCGTTTGCCTCCCAGCAGAGAGGCCAGGTGCTCAGGAAGCCTGGTGGGGGGTGGGGAGAGGCAGGGCAGGGTGGGGTGTGCAGGTGGCAGCAGGCTGGGAGTTGCCCCTTTACCCTCTGGGCATGTCCGTTGCCTTTTCCTTTTTAAAGCTCTGGTTTTTGAAGTGGCCTGCAGCCAGATACCCCATCGATAGGCCTTCCCATCTCCTGGCATTTCCTCAGTCCGTGGCTGGGTCTGTGCCCTCCAGTGACTGTGACCCAGGATGCCTTCCTCCTGGTGTCCGGCCCTCGGAGCAGTAGGGCAGCCATGGTCACCCGGTGAGGCCCGATGAGACATGCCACCATGCTGTCTCCACGCCTGGTGACCACGGAAGGCCTCGCACACCGCCCCCTCCCTGTGAGTGGCTCACCCTCAGTGGCCTTCCCACACCTCCTCTACGAGTTTGGTGCGGATATTGCTGAAGAAATGGAGGTTCTTCTCCTCCTCTCTGGAAACTCTGAGGTTCATCTTTTTTTTTTCTTTTTTTTGAGTTGGAGTCTCACTCTCGCCCAGACTGGAATGCAGTGGCCGCTCCCGGCCACCGCAGCCTCGACCTGCTGGGCTCCGGCGATCCTTCCTCCTCAGCCTTCCAAGCAGCTGGAACTACAGGCGCGCGCTACCACGCCTGACTAATTTTTTTTGATTTATTGTAGAGATGAGATCTCGCCTGCCCAGGCGAGTCTGAACCCGCGGGCTCAGGCAGTCCACTCACCTCAGCCTCCCAAAGGCGCGGGATGACAGGCTGAGCCACTGAGCCCAGCTAGAGGTTCATCTTTATATTTCATGCATTCATCCCTTCAGCATTGCTTACCTCCATTCTCCTGGAGTTCTGCGCATGGCACCGTTCCCGAGGGCTGTTTGGTCTGTCTGTGCCCTGTGCCTGTCATTGGTTCCCAGTGGAGGCTGTGGCTTCCTGCTCTGACGTGGGCGTGCCTCTCTCTGCACGTAACCTGCGCTAGACACACGTGCAGGTGGCGTGCGTCTCCCACGTGCAGGCCTTCCCCGTGTTCCTCTCGGACCTGGTGCGCCACCCCCTCCTTCCTCCCTACGTGTGAGCCTATGGTTCTCCCTGACTCTTCTTTGTGCTCCGATTGTGTCAACAAAAGAGGACATGGGAAGCCCCTGCAGGCTGTTGGGAGGACACGCAGCTAGGTTCACGTGTGGATTTCTGGCTCCCTTTTGGGAAAGGCACTAGGCCGAAGAAAACCTAATTTTTTACCACCGATGTGCAGGACTTTAGATTTTGGAGCTAGCAAGTCAGTGATGACACAGCTTGTAAAAGTTTCTTCCTTTGACTGAATGTTTGTGGTCTTTTTCTAGGATTTTCACTGGCTAACCCGCTCTAACCTGTAAGTGAAGACGCCATGGGTAGTCTTGAGTTTTCTGTTTCCTGCAAGATGAAATTTTATTTTCTGCAGTGAAATTACTGTAATGTTAAAATTATACAAAGAAAAAAATGTTAGCCCTTTGCCACTCCGATGTCCCCTCAGGGGATATAAAGAGATTGCTGGTGATTATACAGGACAAACTTATGCAAGTGCAAATTTTTCAAAAATGTATTTCCTTGAAGTTTTCCATCCAGAAACAATGAAAAACTTATGTCCCATCTGAAATCTGTCAAGCTTCTGATGGGTCAGTTGAGAAGTGGTTTTCAGGAATCACGAGTGCATCCTTCTATATTGTGTTCGAACAACAGACTGGACAGTAAATTACGTATTATCAGTGTGGGAGGAAGGACATGAGACTGCATCATCTGCTCAAATAGAGAAACACCAGGTGGAAGACGTCCAACAAATTACTAGTGAATGACATGTGTCAATGAACCTGCAGTGCACGTCGGTGACTGTTTCACACGTTACACAAATATAAGATACAAAATTTTGATTTTTTTTTGTCAAAAATAAGTAATGCAATGTCCAGGATTCCATTATAAGCCAACTATCATTACAATAAAATTATTGATTTCAATGCTGTGCTATTTAATATGAAGTGGTGTTTTTGTTGTTTTTTTTTTTTTTTTGAGTTGAAGTCTCACTCTGTCGCCCAGGCTGGAGTGCAGTGGCACGCTTACGGCCACCCCAGTGTTGACCTGCTGGGCTCTGGCGATCCTTCCGCTTCAGCCTTCCGAGTAGCAGGAACTACAGGCATGTGCTCCCATGCCCGGCTCATTTTGGATGTATTTTAGAGACAAGGTCTTGCCAAGTTGCCCTGGCTGGTCTCGAACCCACAGACTCAGGCAGTCCCCTCGCCTCGGCCTCCCAAACTGCTGGGATGACAGGCTGAGCCACCGAGCCCGGCCTGTATTTCACTACTTCATTAAAAAGTGCGGTCAAGCTGCCGGTAGGTGACCCATGTGATGTCTCCGAGTGCAAAGGGCTAAATGACATGCCCTTGTGAAGGAATCGAGGCAGGAAGAGTCGCGTCTTCCGCCCCGGAGCAGCCACTTCCGCACACAGGGGTGAGGGGCCGTGTGCAAGAACTGCGTTGCGGCCTCCCGCCCAAGCTACACGTCAGGATTCTCTGACTGCTCTAGTGTGGATGTCTGTCCCCCAAAATTCCATGTTGAAATTGGGTTTCCAGTGTGGAGGTGGGGCCCGGCGGGAGGTGCCTGGTCACAGGCGGGTCCCTCCTGGGTGGCTCCATCTGTCGGGGCAGCGCCTTCTCCCTCTGTTCGCTCTAGCGAGAGCTGGTTGGAAACCCGGCGCCTGCTCCTCCTGCTCTCACCACGGGACCTCCGCCCAGGCCAGCTCTCCTTCCCCTTTGCCCCAAGTGGAAACTCCGTGAGCCCCGTCCAGATGCCCAGCCGTGACCTTGCGGCCAGCAGAACTGCGAGCTAAATAAGCCTCTTTTCTTTGCAAATGACCCAGCCGCAGGCGTTCCTCCACAGGGCCCTGAACAGGCCAAGATTGGCCGTCTAACACCTTCTGCAGAGTTGTCTAGTGTGCAGACGTCTGTAAGTCAGAGCTCCTCCTACTTCATGTTGTATCTTTCCAGCACTTCCTGCCTTAATCTCCTGTCACAAGCGAGGACATGGGAGGTGAAGATTCACGGTGCAGTCTGACAATGCTTCATTCACACACCACACTACAATTCTAAGATCACAGCGGCCCGCAAGACATCACCGCAAGGTCCGGTGGTTACAGGTGTGTATCTCGGGATTCTTGGTCAGCGTTCCTTGATGGAGAGCGCGAGGTCCTCTAGGAAACAGCCGCTTGGACTGGCCCGCCGGGATCCACGTGTCCCACGGGGCAGCAGCATCAGGTGAATGCAGAGCGGTGATGTGGGCGGGACTTTTCAGTCTTCTGGGATTTGTTGCGTAAATAACTGGACATTCCACCCAACGCCTTCACATACAAACATGCTTATTTCGCTAACTCGTCCATAGGTTTGTCCCTTTCTTGGTGTAAATGTGTTTACCATGAGCACATCGACGCGAGGGAGTATTACAGCACTCTTACCTCGGCACCACACAATCCTTTCTTCACGGTTGTAAGCACCAAGCTAGGGTCGCCCCTGTTCAACACACCCATCTCCCCAGCTATGCAGCTGGGCTCTTTCCACACTCTGTGAGTCCCCCCACCCCGCAAGAACCGACTGAGCCAAAGAAGGCACGCCACGCCACGCCCGGGCTAAGAGTTGCAGGGTGTGCCGGGATTCGCAGCCTTGGTTGAGGCTCACCTCATGGAGACCAACAGAATCGGCCTCTGTAGGAAAAGAACGCTCCCAAGTAAGAAAAAGAAGTTCCGGTAGAAAGTGGGCAGAGGGTGTGAATGCCTCACTCACGGAAAAATACAAGCGGTCGATAGACGTGTGCGTGTCCACACACGCGAGTATGGCCATGCCACTGAATGCGGATGATGTGAGTATGCGGGTTCTGCTGAAGACCCTCTTTCTCATGCCCATCCAGAAACCGCCGTAGACGTGGCGGGGCCTGCCCTGGCACTGGTGGGAGCTGAAACCAGCGTGGGTCTGCGCGGTCGTTCTGGCATTGACGTGTGTTTGGAATGTCAGCGTGCTCATACCCTGTCCTTTTGTTTGTTTTAATCCACCCCTCTTCGTGCTTAAATGCCACACGACTTTTGACACAGTGGGCCTCTTTAGAGAATGTATCCTAAAGAAATAATAAAATTCTGGCTGGGCTCAGTGTCTGAGCCTGTCATCCCAGCATTTTGGGAGGCCGAGATGGGTGGATTGTCTGAGCCTGCGAGTTTGAGACCTGCCCAGGCAACTAGGCAAGACCTCATCTCTGTGATAAATCAAAAATTAGCCGGCCGCAGTAGCGCACACCTGTAGTTCTGGCTACTTGGAAGGCAGAAGGGTCACCGGAGCCCAGCAGGCCGACGCTGGGGTGGCCGTGAGTGTGCCACTGCACTCCAGCCTGGGAGACGGAGTGAGACTCCCACTCAAAAAACTAAATAAATAAAATAAAATTTTTTCAATGATAAATTTGCTCAAATGTTTGCATCAAAGGCCATTCATTCAGCATGGTTTTGTTTAGGAACAACCCCGAGGTTTGACGAGGACATGGGTTGCGTAAGTGTCGGTCTGTCGCCCTAAAATAAGGATGGGGTCACACAGCATCTGTTAATGGAGAACTCATCCCGATTCAACCCTGTGTGGAAGGGTCGGGCTGCAAAGTGCCGAGGCTGAGTGGGAAATGCCCCATGCCCGGCGCGCGCTTGGAAAAGAGACGTGCAGAGCCAGCCGCTGTGCGTGCGACTCAGGGAGCGGTTGGAGGTCATTTGTCTCCATTCTTTTCCTTTTACAGTTTTAAAAGATGTGCCTTTCATGGTCAGAAGCAGACATTATTCTAAGAATATTAGAAATAAAGAAGTTGGGCAGGCATGGTGGCTCAACCTGCCATCCCAGCACTTTGGAAGGCTGAGGCGAGAGGATTGCCTGAGCCTGCGGGTTCGAGACCAGCCTGGGCAACTTGGCCAGGCCTCGTCTCTGTAATAAATCACAAAAACTAGCTGGATGTGGTGGCGTGGGTCTGTAGTTCAGCTACTTGGAAGGCTGAGGCAGAAGGATCGCCAGAGCCCAGCAGGTGGAGACTGCGGTGGCCGTGAGCACTCCAGCCTGGGTGACAAGAATGAGACTGCAACTCAAAAAAAAAATACAAGAAAGAAAGAAATAGAAAAGTCTCAGGGCCGCCGTGTCCTTTCCCTGCAGTTTTATGTGATGGGAGCGTGGCGCTTAGTACCAGAATTCCGCTTCTGGGCACCCCCCTCATCAGACTGGTCTGCTCTGGCAAGTTTGGGCACCCACGACCCCACTGGGCGGCAACACCAGCTGTAGGTGTGCACCCAGGAGGCCCCGTGACGAGGCCCTTGACGGACCCTGGAAGCAGCCGTCCAGAAGGCGAGTCTCCTCTCCCTTCAGTAGACAGGAGAGAGCCCACGCTGCCTGGGGAGGAGACTGTGGCAAGGAGCCTTCGGCTGGGAAGCCCCTGCAGCCCATCGCTGCCACCTCTGCCCAGGACATGCCTCTGGCAGGCGCACGCAATACGAGGTTTTGCCGTAAGGTGGTGTGGCAAGCTTGGTTAGAGTCTGTGAATTGGACCATACACCTGTGTTCCTGAACAGGAGATACGCTTTGGGGAACACACCTTTTACTCATGATCTCTCAAGAGGAAGAGGGATTGACTGGTGATTGCACTGGCCAGCCGCGGTCAGTCTGAATGCTTAAAGGCTGAGTAGGCCTGGAGCACTTTCGTTGACAGTCACTTGCTTATTTATTTTTTTGAGTCGGAGTCTCACTCCATCGCCCAGGCTGGAGGGCAGTGGCACACTCATGGCCACCACAGCCTTGACCTGCTGGGTCTGGGCAAGCCTTCCGCCTCAGCCTTCCAAGTAGCTGGAACTACAGGCACATACTGCCATGCCTGATTAATTTTCTTATTTATTGTAGAGACGAGATCTCGCCAAGGTGCCCAGGCTGGTCTCAAACCCCTGGTCTCAGGCAATCCTCTCGCCCCGGCCTCCCAAACTGCTGGGATTAAAGGCTTGAGCCACTGCACCTGGCCCATTTATTTTTTTATTTTATTTTATTTTATTTTTCTGAGTCGGAGTCTCACTCTGTCACCCAGGCTAGAGAGCAGTGGCACACTCATGGCCACCCCAGCATCGACCTGCTGGGCTCCAGTCATCCTTCCACCTCAGCCTTCCAAGTAGCCGGAACTACGGGCACGCATGACCACGCCCGGCTAATTTTTTGATTTACTGTAGAGATGAGGTCTCGCCATGTTGCCCAGGCTGGTCTCGAACCCATAGGCTCAGGCAATCCTCTCGCCTCGGCCTCCCAAAGTACTGGGAGGACAGACTTGAGCCACCGTGCCCAGCCTATTTTTATTTATTTACTTACTTAAGTCAGAGTCTCACTCCATCACCCAGGCTGGAGAGCAGTGGCACACTCACGGCCACCACAGCCTTGACCTGCTGGGCTTGGGCAATCCTTCT